AAGGTTCGCGTGAGAACAGAGACTCTGAGCTGTGGAAACGATGCGAATAATTCACCGAGCAGTCGTAAAATGGTGGATTTAGGTGGAGGAAGGAAGAGAGGGGGGTTAATTTGCGGGATTTTGTTGGATCCAGCGGAGGCCTCTACGTGAGCTTATTACGGTAAATATCTTGAGGGATCGTATATTATATGTTTGACGGGGCGTTCTTCCACTCTGAACGCGTCCCCTAACCCTTTTAGCGTGATAAATGTATATACACCGAAGGGTCCTAAGAGGGGTGCTGACATCTCGATGCAATTTCGAAGATAAATATTCCTATCCCTGTGGCCTGGTAATTTACTTTTTCACTTGATTTCATATTAAGCGCGACAGCTCGCAAGACAAATGTAGGCGTGACACTTCTCTCTCTCTCTCTCTCTCTCTCTCTCTCTCTCTCTCGAGTATATTTAATCTGTCGTGATCGCACGTTTATCGTCCATTCCTTCCTGCATTATTCATTCGCCTTAATATTTGTTCCACGCATATTTCAAACGTACGAGCCAATTGTGCGTACACTGTCGCGTGAAATATGGAAATAATAACGATTGTTTGAGACGTTTTTGTTTAAGCAAGTTTAAGGAAATTGTCAGTTTAACCCTTTGCACTCTACTGGCGCCAGCAGCTTCGTTCAAGTCTCGTTTGTATTAAAATAAAGTGAATTGACAGAAGAAATTAAGATAAACAATTTCACGAAGATTTCGAATTTTTTTTTTTAAGAAAATTTTGGATTTTCGAAAGTTTCACTGCGAAAGTGGGAAGTTAAAAAAATGCTCGGAATGCAAAGGGTTGAATTGCTGTAGTTTTGACGAAGTTCTGATTACTTGCATAACACATAATTAGGTCACTGTTTTTCAAACTAAATTATACGAAAATTACATTTTCCTCAAATATACATACGTACATGAATTCATGATCACTCTGACTATTTTTATTGCTAAAAAATATGAGTTTATTGGTTGCTTTCATATAGTTTTGTGAACGCATATATCAGTCTATCCTCCTCAAAGGGTTAAATTGCTAAAGCTTGATTGCTTCGAGTGTAGTATTAAAGATCCTCAGACCTAAAGAGAGACCTAAGACCATAAATCCAAAGAAACACAAAATTTTCTCTGGAACCTTCAGCCTACCGATCCATAAATCGCGAACTTTCGGAGTTGGTCGAAAAATATAAATCTCCAAGAACAACAGAAGGAAAAGTAGAACGAAATCAGCATTCCACAATAATTTATTAATTATCGTTAAAATTACCTTCTGTTAATAAACACACCGTAAATTATTAAATAACCTAACAAGTAGGGGTGACTTTCTAACCTCACTTTCTCTCGCGTCCGATTCACATTTAAGCCTAGCTTACGCATAAAAATAGATCCCACGTTCCTTTTCACCTCGGCAATTATACGGAGTAGAAGTAAGTCGAAGCTTGATACATGCTTTTCCAAAGGTGAAAGTGCACGAGTGGCACAGGAAGGTGAGCATCGCGAAAGGAAGTAGAGAAGCTCGACTTGAGGGAAACAGGCAGTTAATTAACACTTTAATGGCGGAGCGACGCGCGTAGTATATTAAACGAGCCGCGTACCCTTGCGGCGATTAAAGCGTTACCATTAACACGTTTAACTTTTCCTATCTTTATGGATGGGGGAGGATCTTTCTCTCTCTCTATCTCTCTCTCTCTGGTGACTCTGTGGCGCGTTGATTTACAAAACTACCGTCTCCAGTCTCGATGAGACGTGTTTCAGTAAGTTGAAGCATTAATTGCACTGTTAATTGCGCAGGAAATTCACCAAGACACTTTTCGACACCAGGAAATACAAAAAATAAAATAAAAAGGAATTATACAAAGTCTCTTGTACGGTGAATAATTACAGCGTTGAAATTGATTTCACTGTGTGTTCCACCATTTCCCTCAATTTTGGCTAACGTGACGGATTAGCGCGTCAGTGTTTTTGCGCGTTTAAATTAGCAGGAATTTAGTTTCAGTGAGAAAATTTAATTAAAGGTGCAATATCGCGGGGCAAATTAATGGCCGAAAAGTAGCACTCTCAAATGCTCGATGAGAGGGAAAAAGAAAGAAAGAAAGAAAAAAACGGGGTAAAAAATGTTCATTGGCCGAGTGGAAAATTTTTTAGAATAAAAGTTCGCAGTTAGCGGGCGTTTCGTTATGCCGCGGTCGTTCGTGATTTTTGTCGTTTCATGATTGATTAATTCGTCCGGCCGAGCGATATTCCGTCTCTTAAATCGCGCACGGCCGACACGACGGTCGGAGAGACGAGGGATACTTTATAGGAGCGTATTTCGAAACGGTTAATCCTTCCGGTTGTCACAAGCAGGACGTGAGCTTCTGCCGGTTGATTTTGCGCAAGAATCGGGAAAAATAACGGAATATTGAAATACTGGAATTTTGTTGTTGGGTGGTAAGCTGATGGAAAAAGCGACTTGAAAAATATTTGCCCGACGGTCCTTTTTTTCGACGATTGAAACTGTGGAATGAATCGTGCAACGAATTTCTGGGTAGAGATTTTGCGGGAGGAATTAATTTCATTAATAGGAGATCCATTTGCGACAATTTTTTTTATCGAAGAATATACTTTGTCGATGTAACTTCTTCTCCAAGTGCCATATACAATTGAGTTCCTCCATAACAGTTCTGTTCAAAGAGTAGAAAACTTGAAGCATTCTAACTTCTCCATTTTCCTCCACTGTTGGCGACGGGTGTCACTTAAGTACACGTTACATATCTCGTGCGTAGTGTCTCGATTTGCCGTTGGAGGCGCTAGCTGTCTCGCAGCTAAACTGTCATGGCTGCCTCTGTGCATGCTATTGTGAAGGGCGCTGTTACGTTTCCAATTTTATATTTCCCTCTTTATATTTCTTCTACCTGCTGTGTAGCAATCTATACGAAGATCTAAGTGTCACTTAACACATTCGCTACCAATTCCCTACATTTACAGTATTATCTGCGTATAATACATCATACAAAATGCATAGTTTGAGTATTTCATGAATATTAGGTGCGTCTAAGTGCAGGCATTCGTAGTATTATATACAACTGATAAAAATATAGATATTAAGAATGTAAATCAAAATAATTCGAAGGATAGGGGACGACAGAACCGTGGTAGCGAATGTGTTAAGTACATACCTCTTGCGTAGTGTCTCGCTTTGACGTCGGAGGCGCTAGCTATCTCGCAGTTAGACTGTCATGGCTGCCTTTCTGCATATAATTTAAACACTCTGCGCAAGAGAAATGGATAAAATTACAATTTTATCCCTTGACATCTTACTTTTCCTCTTTATATTTCTTCTGCCTGCTGTATACCAACCTACACGAAGATCTGAGCAAGTTTTTAACGCTCAGCGAAAAGTGTTGATTCGATTTGATCGCGTATACGGTAAGTAGTATGTATATCTATCCACGCAGTAAGCGGGAGTGGTGCGAACGGGACAGTATTTGCCGCAGTGCAGGAGCACCAGGAACGGGACTGTTATGCGGCAGCCGTTCTACCGTGTACTTTCGAGCCACTCGGCTCCGCGAGGACCATTCGGATATTCATGCGTTTCGTAGCGATCAGTGGCATGCAGGTTGCCCGATTCGAAATTACGCGAATAAATTGTGCGACTCGCGAGCCTTACAAACGAATACACGATTACACTTGTAATTGACTTTTTCCGGTCGACATGCTTGTTTGTCCTACCGACGATTCCTGCTCTTCCTATTATGGAACGATATTAAGAGGTAGAGCGGACGCCATTCGACTGTGAAATATTCCGGATTCGCTGATATTGGGATGCTCGCCCTCGGCGTTTCGAATTTCAAACAAGATTACAGCTTTAGCGATATTAATAATTCGAAGATGGTATTTTGTATTTGAATTCTGGGAACTAACCGCGTTAATAAATTTTCAACGTAATAATAAGTAAGTTTCACTGCAAAATTACCTACAACTGTGTCGGTATATTTTACAAGAAAAAATGTTATATTATAAAATCTTTTCCTAGCGTCAAATAACTTGGTTTCAAGCTGTTTTGACATCACGGCCAGCTGAGTTACGGAACACCCGGGACATTTTGATTCTTTCGAAAAGCTACCTAAAATATTGACGCGTGTTTGAAATTTTCCGCGAAACACCGAAAGGCTTTCCCTTTGTGAGCCCCGCGGAATATTTTCAACCTGAAAACTCGCGACAAAAGCGCGGCGCGCAAAAAACACGGACTTCAATTTTCGAAAGCGGAATTATCGATTCGCGAGGCTCGCGAATATTTCCCCTCCTGTGTGATGTCGCCGATAGAACTGTGCCGCTGTTCGCCGCTGACAACGTTATTAAAGTGTAGCTGCTGGCGCGTGTACACGTGCTGTAAGTACATTATCGCCTTCCTACTTCTCCTTTGGCCGCGGTATAATTTTAATAAATGCGTCTAGCGCCAGCCAACAGGGGTAATTATTTTTCACGGGTCCAAAGATAGGCGGCTGGCGTTACCCCGCGTAATTATATGCCGCGATTAAAAAAGGAAAAAAAAGAAGAGAAATAAAATTTCTAGCACGAAATGAAAAAAGGAAGAATGCTTTCAGCTGAAAATACCGGTCGAGTGTGAAGCTAGGAGTTGACAAACGACGAAACACCGGCTGAGAATATTTTTACCAGGCTCGTCTCGCGATATTTCCCGGTGTTTTCTTGCGTGAATATTTGCAAAAAATTTGACGATACAGAGGTGCGATGAAATTTTCAATTGTATCGTTAAATATTGCAGTTAAATATTGAAATAACGTAGTATCGGGGCCTCCATACCCAAAAAATAGGAAACCGACACGGGAGAATAGAGAGGGAGTGGTTGGCGTAGCGCGCACAGAGAGATAAGTATTCGGACAAAGGAGAGTCTTGGGACTCTCCAGGACTGTGTCAAAAAGGCACGGCACTTACCCGAGAACCTTCGGCGAGAAAAGAATTCTAACATATTGATAGGAGATGACAAGTAACGAAGTTTCACTGCCGCCTTATCACACGTTCCTTACGCGACGGGGATTTCTGAGAAGTTAAAGAGAGTAGGGAGAATGATAATAGCGGTGGTATGCAATCGGTGATTTATTTCTGTTTATTTGTGGCTTTCAGAGGAAACTGTGCACAGTACACGTCTGTTTGAAGCGGGAGCTTTCCAAGAATGGCCGACTCTAGACGCTGGTCCTTATTTTGACACGACGGTTCCGACGAACGTGACGGGCCTCGTTGGGAAAAGCATCCAACTAGTCTGTAAAGTGAAGAACCTGGGAAATAGAACCGTAAGTACTTTCATTATTCGTTTAGCGTTTTCCTGGAGAACGGTATTGTGGTCGATGCAAGATTCTGCCTCCAAGTGTGTCTTCTACTATCCTCTTTTTCAAACTCTTGAAATTTTACGTATTGATATAAATATGTGCAGGAGGAAGAATGAGTAAATTTGAGGTTAAGCTTAATTTAGAGAAATAAATTTTTGCCTCGAAGTGTGTCTTCCTTGGTCCTTTTTCGAAAACTCTTGAAATTTTACGTATTAAGGATCAATTAAAAATCAACGAAATTAGCAAATTTAGAACTACCGACCGGGTCGAAACGACCCGTTAGAATCTTTCGGAAAAACATGAATGTTCAGTGCTGGTGAGTACTACCGTTCGTAACTTTCCGAATTTATTTTCCACATGTATGCTTCTATTTACTTAGATAAAAATTCACTTTTGGAAAGTCGCTAATGAGCTTTTTTGACTCGGCTGGTAGTTCTAATATTGAGGTTAGGTTTAAATTAGAGAAAATTATTCTTTCTCCTGCATACAGCGATAAATCTAACCTAACCTAAGTTTGACTTGAACAGCTAGTGTTACAAACATTTCTAGCAAATGGACTATTCCTCATTTCGGAGGCAAACATCGACACGTGTTTGTCTTCGAAGAAAATATCGTAAACCAAACGTACCACGTTTCTCCATTCGGATTAACTGCGGAATTTCGTGTGAAGTGTTTGCGCCTCCTTTCGAGAAGTTTCGTAGCCTCGAGAGGGGACCAATTTTTAAGGCAAATACAATTTTGAAGAGCGACGAACGGCACCGTGTAAACTTCTCGCGTCGAAATTCCGTCTTTCGGTATACAGACTTCGGAATAATAGAGACGAACTCCTTAATATTAACGAGATTTTAACTCATATTTCAACCAGATGTTAGACATTTTTTAACTACGAAATATTGCCAACCAAAAGATCCATATTTTTTATTAAATTTTTTCATCGTGACTTAAATCTTATCTCCAAGGATTCCCATTTTTTTACGTCGAGTACGTTAATATTTATCCTTTCTTTCGAATAAAATATCGCTTTCCCGATATCTGCAGATATCTCCGTGCAATGTCGTCTAAATCCGAAAAATCTTAATTTTCCTCGCGGCATCGCACACGCGGGCGTAGGTAAATTCGCGATAGGAAGGAAACGTATTAGCCGGTATACACGTAGCAGACAGGAGCGTGCGTGTGGGCACACATCTGGGAACTAACCGCGTTAATAAATTTTCAACGTAATAATAAGTAAGTTTCACTGCAAAATTACCTACAACTGTGTCGGTATATTTTACAAGAAAAAATGTTATATTATAAAATCTTTTCCTAGCGTCAAATAACTTGGTTTCAAGCTGTTTTGACATCACGGCCAGCTGAGTTACGGAACACCCGGGACATTTTGATTCTTTCGAAAAGCTACCTAAAATATTGACGCGTGTTTGAAATTTTCCGCGAAACACCGAAAGGCTTTCCCTTTGTGAGCCCCGCGGAATATTTTCAACCTGAAAACTCGCGACAAAAGCGCGGCGCGCAAAAAACACGGACTTCAATTTTCGAAAGCGGAATTATCGATTCGCGAGGCTCGCGAATATTTCCCCTCCTGTGTGATGTCGCCGATAGAACTGTGCCGCTGTTCGCCGCTGACAACGTTATTAAAGTGTAGCTGCTGGCGCGTGTACACGTGCTGTAAGTACATTATCGCCTTCCTACTTCTCCTTTGGCCGCGGTATAATTTTAATAAATGCGTCTAGCGCCAGCCAACAGGGGTAATTATTTTTCACGGGTCCAAAGATAGGCGGCTGGCGTTACCCCGCGTAATTATATGCCGCGATTAAAAAAGGAAAAAAAAGAAGAGAAATAAAATTTCTAGCACGAAATGAAAAAAGGAAGAATGCTTTCAGCTGAAAATACCGGTCGAGTGTGAAGCTAGGAGTTGACAAACGACGAAACACCGGCTGAGAATATTTTTACCAGGCTCGTCTCGCGATATTTCCCGGTGTTTTCTTGCGTGAATATTTGCAAAAAATTTGACGATACAGAGGTGCGATGAAATTTTCAATTGTATCGTTAAATATTGCAGTTAAATATTGAAATAACGTAGTATCGGGGCCTCCATACCCAAAAAATAGGAAACCGACACGGGAGAATAGAGAGGGAGTGGTTGGCGTAGCGCGCACAGAGAGATAAGTATTCGGACAAAGGAGAGTCTTGGGACTCTCCAGGACTGTGTCAAAAAGGCACGGCACTTACCCGAGAACCTTCGGCGAGAAAAGAATTCTAACATATTGATAGGAGATGACAAGTAACGAAGTTTCACTGCCGCCTTATCACACGTTCCTTACGCGACGGGGATTTCTGAGAAGTTAAAGAGAGTAGGGAGAATGATAATAGCGGTGGTATGCAATCGGTGATTTATTTCTGTTTATTTGTGGCTTTCAGAGGAAACTGTGCACAGTACACGTCTGTTTGAAGCGGGAGCTTTCCAAGAATGGCCGACTCTAGACGCTGGTCCTTATTTTGACACGACGGTTCCGACGAACGTGACGGGCCTCGTTGGGAAAAGCATCCAACTAGTCTGTAAAGTGAAGAACCTGGGAAATAGAACCGTAAGTACTTTCATTATTCGTTTAGCGTTTTCCTGGAGAACGGTATTGTGGTCGATGCAAGATTCTGCCTCCAAGTGTGTCTTCTACTATCCTCTTTTTCAAACTCTTGAAATTTTACGTATTGATATAAATATGTGCAGGAGGAAAAATGAGTAAATTTGAGGTTAAGCCTAATTTAGAGAAATAAATTTTTGTCTCGAAGTGTGTCTTCCTTGGTCCTTTTTCGAAAACTCTTGAAATTTTACGTATTAAGGATCAATTAAAAATCAACGAAATTAGCAAATTTAGAACTACCGACCGGGTCGAAACGACCCGTTAGAATCTTTCGGAAAAACATGAATGTTCAGTGCTGGTGAGTACTACCGTTCGTAACTTTCCGAATTTATTTTCCACATGTATGCTTCTATTTACTTAGATAAAAATTCACTTTTGGAAAGTCGCTAATGAGCTTTTTTGACTCGGCTGGTAGTTCTAATATTGAGGTTAGGTTTAAATTAGAGAAAATTATTCTTTCTCCTGCATACAGCGATAAATCTAACCTAACCTAAGTTTGACTTGAACAGCTAGTGTTACAAACATTTCTAGCAAATGGACTATTCCTCATTTCGGAGGCAAACATCGACACGTGTTTGTCTTCGAAGAAAATATCGTAAACCAAACGTACCACGTTTCTCCATTCGGATTAACTGCGGAATTTCGTGTGAAGTGTTTGCGCCTCCTTTCGAGAAGTTTCGTAGCCTCGAGAGGGGACCAATTTTTAAGGCAAATACAATTTTGAAGAGCGACGAACGGCACCGTGTAAACTTCTCGCGTCGAAATTCCGTCTTTCGGTATACAGACTTCGGAATAATAGAGACGAACTCCTTAATATTAACGAGATTTTAACTCATATTTCAACCAGATGTTAGACATTTTTTAACTACGAAATATTGCCAACCAAAAGATCCATATTTTTTATTAAATTTTTTCATCGTGACTTAAATCTTATCTCCAAGGATTCCCATTTTTTTACGTCGAGTACGTTAATATTTATCCTTTCTTTCGAATAAAATATCGCTTTCCCGATATCTGCAGATATCTCCGTGCAATGTCGTCTAAATCCGAAAAATCTTAATTTTCCTCGCGGCATCGCACACGCGGACGTAGGTAAATTCGCGATAGGAAGGAAACGTATTAGCCGGTATACACGTAGCAGACAGGAGCGTGCGTGTGGGCACACACTTTGCATAGAGATGAGTTTCGGGATTAAAAATGTAACACACTCCAAGCATCCAACATGCACGATCCTCAAACACGCTTCTTTCTTTCTCTGCTTTGATAAATTTCATTAGTCGCAAGATGTCTCTGATTGAAACGCTTCTGATTAGATTACGTTTCCCCGTTTGTTTTTTCCCTTCGTCAATTAGTTATTTCAGATTGAAAAATTTTCGTTCGAATCAATTTGACGAGGATGGTTGTTGCTCTCGAAGCAAACAGATTCGGGTCTTTTACTTGGGTACGGATGACGCAGATATGCGTCGTTGCGATTTTCACTCATTTTCATCTGTCTGAAAATTAATTTACAAAACGCTATAAATGGTTCAACTTCTCTTCAGAAACACACATTCACCTCTACATACACTGTTACACCAATAGCGAAACAGCAATAGTTAATAAAAGACAGTTTTCCAGCGACAGGTCAGATACACGCCAACTTTCGAACAGCGAACACCATTTCATTGTGGTGCATTATTTCTCAACGCTTCCCGTGCACTGCCTAAGTCCCTTATTCCGAGTAAATTCAGCGAACACCATTTCATTGTGGTGCATTATTTCTCAACGCTTCCCGTGCACTGCCTAAGTCCCGTATTCCAAGTAAATTCTTCGAGTGGTTTGACTGAAAAAGAGTCAACAATGCTAATAATAATGAAAATCATAGCGGTCGAAATATTTTTTCCATAATTTCCAACGCGAAGAATCTGCAGGGCGGAGCGCGTCCATTTAACATGCAGTCCGATTTCTCTTCAGAAACACACATTCACCTCTACATACACTGTTACACCAATAGCGAAACAGCAATAGTTAATAAAAGACAGTTTTCCAGCGACAGGTCAGATACATGCCAACTTTCGAACAGCGAACACCATTTCATTGTGGTGCATTATTTCTCAACGCTTCCCTCGAGTGGTTTGACTGAGAAAGAGTCAACAATGCTAATAATACTGAAAATCATAGCGGTCGAAATATTTTTTTCATAATTTCCAACGCGAAGAATCTGCAGGGCGGAGCACGTCCATTTAACATACAGCCCGCTGTAATATGTATACACCGTGAAAACGATGCTCGGAGTTAATCAACAGGCCACTCGAAACTCAGATAATTGCATAACTGGAATAGCCG